TGATCAATTCACCATACCACAAAGTTGCACGATGGTTGGCAGATAAGTTAGAACCAGTGCGTCAACGATTAGCCACCTATACACTAAAGGACTCATTTGTATTTGCTGACAGCATGAATCACATAAATATTGCCGGTAAGTTTATGGTTTCTTTTGATGTAACATCTTTGTTTACAAAAATACCACTTCTTGAGACCATAGACATAATTTGTCAACATTCTGACATCCTACCTCTACCAGTACCAGAATTCAAACGACTATTACTCATTTGTACAAAAGATGTTCAGTTCCAGTTCAACGATATCATATACAAACAAATCGATGGTGTAGCGATGGGAAGTCCGTTAGGTCCTATCCTAGCAGATATTTTCATGGCTAACCTCGAAAGAACCAAACTCAAACGAGCGATTGATGAAATGACGTATTATTCGAGATATGTTGATGATACCTTCATCGTATGTAATAATAAACAACATGCAATAAATCTGCTAGAGTTTTTCAATGAAGCACATCCGAATATCCATTTCACTATGGAACATGAAAAAGAAAACAAGTTCCATTTTCTCGATATCGCGATGAAAAGAAGAAAAGATGGTACAGTTCAACGGTCAGTTTATAAGAAAGACACATGGAATGGTAGTTATCTTAATTTCAATAGCTTTTGCCCAATCAGTTACAAAAAGGCACTGGTCAAAACACTGTTTTACAGAACAGAAAGAATATGTACTTCCGATACACTAGAAGAGGAAGTTATGAATGTTAAAAAAATGTTTAAAGAATAACGGATACCCACTGAAATTTATTGAGAAATACGGCAAATGTGAAGTTAAAAAGCCGAAAGAAATTACAGCAAATAAAAAGCCTATTTTTATTAAACTTCAATTCAAAGGTGACGATGTCACAGGATCAATCAATATGAGACTAAAAACTGCACTGACAAGAACTTATCCTGCAGCGAAATTGATTGTCCTGTCCAAAACAACATGCTCTTTGACACAATCAAAGGTCGATAGGTATCCCTTTCATGTTACCACCAACTGTGTATACAAATTTACATGTACCTGCCAAAGCAGTTACATTGGTAGAACAGAAAGGAGAGCCTACGTCCGATTCAAAGAACATATCCCGAAAAGTTTAAGGTTAAATGGATTGAACGCATTCAACAGTGCTATCGCCAGACATCTCCTTGATACAGGACATAAAGCTGATATACTGAAGTCCTTCAAGGTGATTAACAAACAATCAAACTCGAACCTTTTGAAATTCGCTGAAGCGTTAGCAATCAAACGTTTAAAACCAGATCTATGTATACAAAAAGAGACAGTAATAAATCTTTCTTTACCCTGGTAACAATAACCCCCACTCTTTCTATTAATTTGCTCCTATTTATTTATTTATTACGTCATTATTGCAACTCTTTCTGAAATATAAATTACATCATACATAACTGATTGATTTCAATTCATATTTTCTTTATTACCATTAATCAATTTTCATGAGTTCTAATCACTATTTCAATGTTCTGGAACTTTCCCTCTCAAACTTTATTTATTTATTCGAATCAAACATTTTATGAGCTCATTAACTCTATCTGAATATTCGCTACATCATCATACACATGTATTGATCCTTAATCACACTCTTATATATAAATATGTCAATATCTGTATTAATGTTGAATTTTAAATAATTTAGGTTGTAAGCAGCTGATGAGAACCTAACGAAATAAAATGAATTCATATTATTCTGCACCAATTTTTGTTCTTGCTCTCTTTAAAATAATAAAGGGAACTATGTGTATGTAATTGTTTTCTGTTCCCGTTCTCTTAACCTTCTTCTGGCAGACATTCTATTCATGACTAGCGTTACATACTACTGTTGAGGATGTTAGATCCCCAGAACTCACTTGGTAAATGTCTTATTTTTGTAATTTTATTTTAAAATTTTGGATTTATTGTTTTCGCGCCAAAAGCGCTCATTTCTACCTTCATGCCGTATTTCACGCTTGGGAGGATCTTAAACGCTATTAGTTCGTTGTATTTTTTGGTATGCTATTTTGTAACGCATCCCAAGGACAATCTTATGCTGTATATATACTTTGATTTGTGCCTGTTTTTAATGCTCGTGCTTCTGGCTGCTTGTGGAATATATTTCCCTTTTCCGAACTTAGACTTTTTTCTCTAGTTAGCGAGGCTGAGACGCGACGCGTCAGAATAGCTGGCTTATCTGTCATTGTATCACAGAGTCTTCGTTCCGTTCTCAGATTAGGTGTACTCGTAATCGCTTCAAACATAGCAACTACATACGCTGACATATGTAGCACACACTACAGCAACATTAGATGTACTTCTAAATGATTACTATATCTTTACAAATTTTAAAGATATTATATAATCTTGACTAGTCATTGTGTCTATTGAGCATATCAGTTCAGCACAACATTGGATGGGATATTTGCACACAATTCTAGTTTAGTCATTCCCATAGGTACATTCTACTGCAAAGAACATATATTAAGTACCATTTAAACTGTCTGACGAAGCCCTAAGTAGTTAATACGACTTGATTACACTATCTAGATCGAAAATAATGAAATTATGACCAGTAAATTACATTTTCTATTTCACCTTGTATTATATAAAACATAACAACTGAAATATACAAGTAATTATTGGTTAAACACTTTAATAGGTTGATTAATAAAACAAAGTTTGTTTTATTGAAAATCAATACTTGTTGAATAACCTTTTTTTTATATGTCAGCAATGTGCATGCAAAATAATATATCCCTATATTTAGACTGGTTTATAGTCTAATTTTGTTTCTAATTTCTTAGCATCGGCTATTTTTCGTACAGCTTTCATAAAGTCCTCTTCTATTGTATAATCTCGCTCTGCACGTATAGCAAACATACCTATATTGACCAAAAAAAGAAGGTTAAATAACATTTGAGAAATAAAAGCTCTGGTACTATGCTAGACTGACACAATTGAAAATTATAAAAAAAAGTAAGGAATTGTTGAGTTAGTCAATTAAACTCAACAATAGATACGCGATATAGCATTTGAAGACAGTGGAGAACAGGATTTTGAAAAATGTCATTATAAGCAAAACGAAAGATGGGATAAGTAAAGTGTACACTTATTAGTGACGTATTATTTGTATATAAATAGGTAGTCTGAGAATTTGAAATTTGTAGTGGGTATCTGGACTTTCTCCAAACATTTTTCCCCATATAGTGGCAATTAGAGTCTACAGGATTAAATTATGGAGAATAACCTCAACTCTAGTTATTGTGACGGGTGATGTCCGAAAACTGATACTAATACAAGATGTGCTACGCTCTAACCCTACAACTGACTACTTGAGCGAGAAAGTATGTTGGGCGACCGAATAAAATACACGAATATATATAATTTGTAAATCGTATGCAGTCACATCTATTGGAAATTTCATGCAATTGGTTCCCTTTATGAATTTAAATAAAGCAAGAACAAATATTAGTGCAGAATAGTATGGATCCATAATATTTCGAGGTTTCTCGTCAGCTGCTTTGAATGTGTCCCCTTACTAAATGTAGGGTGAATACGAATCCTGCATGACATAAGCGCTGAAGATTTTTCTCATAATGACGATGAAAGCTTCGCAATTAAATCAAAAGCAACCATCTGGACTGCAACTGTTCTTCATCAATTCGAGATGAATACGAATTGAAATCCTGTTAAATTTGCCTTATTCAGTAGCTAATACATAAGGTTTTGTTTTATTCATACTTTACTAAATACTATAATAAATCAGCTCTAATGATCCTACTAAATAACAATTAGTATATTCAAAAACTGTTAAGAAAGGTAAGCGACAGCATAATTACTATAAAACTTACCAGCTTCTGTGCAAACGTTACGTAGATCAGCTCCATTGAATCCATCAGATAGTTTAACAACTGCTTCCCAATCTATAGAATAAATTAAGTAAGTTAATAGTTGGTAAACAAACAAAATATTTAAATTATATTATACAATATTATTGTAGATGTAATGTGATTGCACATGTTTTTACAATACACAAATTATGTCATATTCACAGTTATATAATAAACCCTTGTGGGCCAGGGTAATTTTACATTGGTTTTCAGGAGAACCAGACACCATCCAGACTTTCACGTAAAAACCCAAACAGTACAGCTCACCTCCGTTTAGCAGAGGAACCAGACACAGTACAGGCTTTAACGCTACAATCTGAATAGTACAGCTCAATCCTGTGGCGCAACCACACAGGTACCAAGCACCATCTATATCATATTCAATTAGATAAAATATGAGAATCTTGAAAGTACTAACTTATTTCACCAATAAAGAAATTTAGATGTTGAAAAGTTGATCATTGCCTCAAATAAAGTATATAAAAACAGATTATCATTAGATGGTGGTTGGAGGTAGTCGACAGGAAACCCTGAACTCGGGTTTCGTGCTACTTGGCACTCGTTAGCAACGTGTACCTGTAATCATGAGGAAACTGGTGCTCCCTGGCGGACTCGACGCCGTGTCACCCAGCTTCACAGTCGGAGACGTTACCACTGAGCTATCCGGGCCGCAGATTATCATTATGAATAGGGAAAATGACTAGATTGTTTGCGAGAGAGAGAACATGTTATTAATCTGGTACAAAGCCATTGACATCTATATTATACTTTTCATAGTCATACAATACACTCTACTAACTGAATAAAACTTAAATTGATTTCTTGTTTATACTTGCACTATATTTCTGCACTACTTCCTATTTCTAATTTTAGAATATGATTATCCTTATTTTGTTTTTCGATAATATTTTTTGTTTTTAAGACTAAATCGAGGCAATCCGCCCAGGAAGCACATATGCGAACATGAGATCGATCAATTACAGTCCTAAATAACACTGGGAAGATACAAGTAAAACAACACCAAGTGAATTTAAACTCAACCTCATTGTATAAGCAAGTGGCTATAAGGACTCAGTAGCTAAGTGGATAACGCGATGGCGTTCGAAGTGAATGGTAATGAGTTCGAACCCAGGAGTGAACATCAACTCTGGGATGCGAGTACATCCAGCCGACGAGTCCCAAATAGGACGAAACGCGTGTCCTCGATTCCATTGCTAGCCACTACCCTTTTTTTGTTTTTCGTTTTCATGATGCACATTCTAGTACTCTCTATTCGGTGTTTATGTGATGCTATGTGAAATGGACGTCATATTATTATTTTTTAATTTGGTTTCGTTTTTATTTAAAGATTTATGCAGTAAAGTTAGATTCGCGTAAAACAGGTATGGAGAATAACCATGGATTAGAAGTTTAAATTGAGTTAGTAAATCAGTAACTGTGTGAGCGAGAAAGATAATGAGTGGTTGTTTGCTTAGTCAAACTTGTAAATGGTTTGACAGGCGTTAGATGAGTTATATATTCAGTTGTCAGTTTTTTGGTGTGGAAATATACTTACGTACTAGTTAGGCTAATCACGTGCTCTTGATCTGAGTTGTGTTGAAGTCCTGTAGAATAGACACTGGGAAGGAATCTAATGTAGATATTCGTGTAGACGTAGAAAACCGAGCGTTATAACAGTAATTAATCTTCTGTGTCTTTGAGTGTTATCTACACGTATTAGCTAATCAGACTTGGTTAAATTAAAGCAAAATTGATGACACTAATTGATATCAATGGACCACCAGAACGTACTATAATAATCAACTAACTTCAATAGGTTAGGTATTTCACTTACAATTATCATGTCTCGAGGTTAAACTCAGTGATATTTGAATGGCAGTCAAAAAGTACCATGTTAATACTCCTGGAGTAATACCCATTGTGAAATTTGTATATCATAACTATACTATTTATAATTAACTGGTATTGACAAAAGTACCTTGAGCGATTTCGTGACCAATCAGAAAACTCTCTCTAGTTATAAGCACAGTAAGGATAAGGAAATATATAGGTATTTATGGCATAACCTAGAGTATTTTTTATAATTTGACAAATAGAGAATTAATATAAACAATACAAGAACGAGAAATCAAGAAAATGACACTTTACCTATTTCACCATGTTTGGCTATTGGAGCTGCATGTATCTTTAGTACATCCATTCGAGCTTGTTCATTAGGCAGAGGAATTTCTAAGAAAATAAATTATGACAAAGGATAGAAGCTTACCAATTTTACGATCTAAACGTCCAGGTCTAAGTAGAGCCGGGTCAAGGGTATCCGGACGATTAGTTGCCATGATCATTTTAACCTGTGATCGTAAATAAAATAGAATTGCACAAATAAGTAAAGCAGTATACTGAATTCAGTTAGATCGTAGTGATAGTCGACATTTTGTGATACATCTTTATAGTTAACATTACAGTATTTTAGTCGATGAAGTTAGTAACTATAACATATCCTTAGTTAATCAACAACAGCCTATGAAACTGACAAGAGATTTAAAACTCAAACAATATTGAGGCTTTTTAAGTTATAAATACTTCTTACCGATATGTGCTAAAGAGCATGAAATTCATGTCTAAGAAATTATGACAAAGGATTTAACATATGTAGGTGACTTTTGTTTTTCACTCCAGTATGATGAAAGTGAGGATATGTGACCAGTGAAGTTTAACTATGCCGAGAGCGAAAACAAGTATTGTAGTGAACGTATAAGTCAAGTGTGGAAGATTAATTTATTTTCTTAATGCACAGTCACACAGTGGTTTAGCAAAATGTGAAAATCATACAACAAATACATCATTTGCACATCTCTGAATTGTCTCTCACAAGCTTCATTGTTCTTTCACTACTGTTTTTATCTTGATTGCTCTCAGTTTCCTTCTCTTTTCTCTTCACTTCAATTTTCCCAACCTTTTGCTCGCAGACATTCTACTTCAGACTGGTATTACATACTGCTTATATCTGTAAACATAAGTAGCATACACCACAGTATGACCTATGGCAATATTGAGAATTGACTGCAGTTTGAAATGTACACCATTAGATGTTAACGCGGTCGCCTAACTGTAACGCGCTTTCCATAAGCTTCTGGGTTTGATTACTGACAGGTTAGCGAGTCAACAATGCTGAGGAATTTCATGAGAAGATAAAACAGCCGTTCAATGCCCTCTTACTTTTAATGGTAAACCAAATTCCGTAGGAAGTCAATGTCATTTTAAAGTTGGTCAAAGGATTTTTTCGGTAATTCATGAAGAATTCAATTAAGAATACTTACTCTTGGAAATAATAACATTTAACCCGCCCTTAAGAACAATGCATATTTACCAGTGAATACAACGATTTTAACATAAACTGATAAAAAGTAACCTTGTAATATATACTTTAGAAAATAAATTAGAGATGAACAGCTTTTCAGAAACAGAAAATATCAATACCTGACCAAGTGCATCAAAACCATCCATCTGATTTAATAATTCCATTAAAGTACGTTGAATTTCACGATCAGCACTTGTACCTTCAGTGAAACGACGACCGCCGATTGCATCAATCTCATCCATAAAAATAATGCAGGGTTGATGATCTCGTGCATAATTGAACATTTCTCGAATAAGACGAGCTGACTCACCAATATACTTGTCAACAATACCACTGGATACAACCTGTGTACGATTTAATTTTAAAAAAACGAAGTTTCCGTTAGATTACTTGTGAATCTATTGTGTAGGAAATCTTATGAATTAGCTGGACTACAAAAAAAAGTGACAACGGAAAAGCGCACGGTCCTATGAATACCTCTCTAACTAAGCTCTGAGCTATTGGAAAAACGAAGTTATATTGCAGCTTTAGTCGAAGAATTTGTATGTAGTAGAAAGTGTGGCTATTAACCAGGAATTTGGTGGCAACCTTGAGAACGACCCATCAAGAATTTGAGACTTGAGATACTGAAGGCAGGCAAAAATTTAAAAATAAAGAATTTAAGAATTTTTAGGATGGTTGTGGTCGAATTTCACGGAAATATTGTATTTCCCGACAGAAGAGTAATGACAGAACTTGGTAGATAGATCCTAATTCCACTGGCTTGAGTGACCAATGATAATTGCATTTTTATGTGTAACATTCTGAATATAGGCATGGCATTTTGTTGGAAAAAAATTATCCTGCAGACAAGCTCTATTGTCTTGGTAAGTTTATTTGGAAGCTTAATGTTAATAATGTTGTCTTATAAGTAGGTATTAACTGATCAAGTCGTATTATTCCATATTATCTACTGCTTAGTACTGTATTAATAATTTAAATGATCTGAAACGAGTTCACAAATTTGAAAACTTTCATATAAGACATTCAGCTGAAGGGTGTTATAAAATGAAATGATTTGTATTTATAATTTATTTTATTTATTTATTTAAACACAAACATCGGTACAAGGAGGCACCAAACAAATATGCGTCACATAAACCAATTGATTTGTGTGAGGGCTGGGATACTGCCCTGGGTGCACGAACCGAAGCACGTTTTCTTAGGGGGCCACAACCCGAGCATTTGACTTGGAGGTCTAATCTACAAGGCAGTAGAGCAACGTAAGGTGATGCAGTTTCATGGTAGCCGGTGACCAACAATAGGTTCGTACGCCATTTGTTCCCTCAGGATCCTGGAGTCCATGCACAGCATTGGTTTGGAATTATGACTTTCTAACTCCCCTAGGTGGATCCTCCATATCCACAAACCCGGCTGAAGCACAGGACACTCACTTTTCGTCCTCTCAATCTCGTAAGCACCCCTGCCACGAGGTGGTGAGTAGGAATTCCCTGGCAGTGGTTGTATGCACATGACCATGTGAGAGCATTTCGAGAAGGAGAACTGACTTTTCCCAATATCGGCCGTACCAGGGCATTTGGAGGCGGAATTTTTACTCTTGTAAGTTGGTCATTCGTCAAAATTTAATAGCTCAACCCGAAAAAGGTTACCCTTAAATATATATGGCACAAAATCATAATACGTCCTGTATGTTCTATAATGCTAAACTATCGCCAGAGATCCTTTGACCTAGATTTTGAGCTTATTTACATTTATAAATAGATAACTTATAACAAGTGTACATCATACTTTAATTAAACTAACGAGAGGATAACAAGGGAGTAAACAATAATCATATAAATATTAATTAAAAACCAAAAGAAACGTATTAAACTGGGGGTAATTTTATTTTTAGAATTGAATGAAAGATGACTGAGTGCATCTGTGGTAGTGTAATACAATCATGACGATATCAAATATAGATAACGATGGCTAACTAATTAATTACTGTCGGTGCGAAATTTCGACTACCGTAGTAAGTTGGACAGAAACTAAGAGCGGCCAACGTAAGAAACGACACTCATGTATAAAGTCAGTGATGGAAACTAAATGGTTGGATTTCTTATGATTAGTTACCAATAGTTGGAGACATTGAACAGCTTGATCAAACTCGACCGGAATGATGCAAATATATGGATTCACACCTTATCTAGCATCAGATTCTAAGCTTCAAAATTGTTCTGTGCTTTTTATTCCGGGAATTCATTTTTTCTCAAATCATATTCTGTGTAATCTTATTCACTATCATTGATACTTATAATGCCTCAGTGTTTACTTTTCCATCTTATTTCGTAGTGCTGATGTGTGATAAAGTGGGCTGAGGAAGATTTGTGCTAGGTCCGATGCTGATTAAGACTGGCTGATCAGTTATAATTAGGTTACCACAATTCCAGACGAAATAAAACGTCTCTATCGACAGAATATAATTACATGAGCTAACATTTGTATTATACCAACATAATTGTTGATGTTACTAGATAACCTAAAAGTCGAACTACGTCAAAACCATTGTCTCTGTAATCATAACTTTATGCAACTTTTTTTAATATCAATAACGTTCTGAGTCATCAATACTCAGTGACTGAGTGTTATAATCTCTTTTCTTACGGTTATGACCCAGCTATTCCTATTGCTTAGTATTCGTCTGCCAATTAAGTGACGAGTATACTGAGCGGCAGTTCGTTCTGTTTTACTTTATGGCTGCGAAACGTGGTCATTAAGAGTAGAAGATATTTGTAAGCTACTAGTATTTGACCACAGATACCTAAGAAATAATGCTCACATCTGCTGGAATCACCGGGTAAGTAATAGTGAGGTTAGACGCAGGGTATTAGGGAATGATGGTAAATCAGTCGATGAGGTTGTGAATTTTCGTCGACTAAGATGGATGGACCACGTGTTGTGTATGCCTGAACACCGACTACCACGACGCGCAATGCTAACCAGTGTTGGGCATCAGTCCACAGAGTCACTAACTTTTGGTATGAGCTATGTTGGTAGATGCAGACTACTTAGTTTGGGGTCTGCGCGACCATCGTAACCAATGTTTGGAGACTCTGGGTGACATGGCTCAGAATCGGTCACAATGGCGTCGGTGTATACACTCTCTATCTTCCCTTAAACTATGAGATTAAAATCACTTCATATCTTTCTAAGTACTACTTCTTTCTTCCTGTACCATGTCCTTACATTCAATCTTTCTTTTATATATTACCACCACTGAATTAACTACTATGAATCCGGTGTTCATCGTGTTGTGCTGTGGTATGACAACTTGGATCAATGCACATATGTGGCTGGTCCTACGTTGTAGCTGACTGATACTCAGTGACCCAACTTTAATTGCAGTGAAGTGATTTTGTTCTGTATCTATAGTTTTAATTCAGTCATCATTTAAAGAGGAGTAACTTAAAATAAATTATTAATAGTAATAATAGATTCAGCTAATTCCATGTGATCACAGTTTGAATTGATTGTAGTGACATAACTGGTATTAATCATAGTACACAGTGCAAACCAATAGTAGAGAATCCAAAATACCTTTAGAAAGTTAACATCAAGTTGTGATGCTACAGCGCGTGCTAGAAGAGTTTTCCCAGTCCCCGGTGGACCATAAAGAAGGCATCCTTTGGGAGGGGTTATACCAACTCTATGGAATAATTCTGGATTCATAAGCGGGAGTTCAATTACTTCTCTGAGTTCACGAATTTGATCAGCCAGACCACCAACGGAAGCATAAGATACAGAACCTGGGTCTTCTGCAGACATATTATGGACTAGTGGGTCGACTTCGCGTGGTAATTGGCGCATAATTGTCAATGTGGTCATGTCCAATGCAACTCTAGTGCCTGGCTTTAATTTACTGCTTTGTAAACTGCGTCGACAGCCAACAACATATCGCGGCCCATTACTAGCTTTAACAATGACTAGAAAACAAAGATAAACCTCTATTAATAGAATGCATCCGACAAAGTCGAAAATGGCATGAATGTTTAGTGCAACAATATAGTACTATGAAGTAAGCTATTAAAGTACACTTACTTTTAAAATAACTTCTACTACTCCATTTTGATAATGATTTATGTCTCTGACATTTAACAAGGTTATAGGTGTGAATCCCACATCATCCAATGAAAACTGAGTTACCAGGCTTCTAGATAAAAATAGTGCGTAATACAGAGCCTGAATTTTCACAAGGTCGCATTAAACTTTTTAAATCTATTCGAGACTAGTTTCCAACCCTGAAAAGCTATGATGGACTGAGATTTACATTTGCCAAATCAACTATATTTCGCAGTACTTCTGATAGACGTATACCAGTTCCCTATATGAGAAGAAATCAGCTTACACGTGCAAGCAACGATAGAAATATCAATTGATTATTCTAAAAATATCGGTCGAATTATGTTGGTTAAAATGGTTAGTTTGTAAACCAAGGGAACTGGTTACTGTCAGAATAAAAAAAAACAAGTAGTATTGAGACACAATTCAAGGGGTCATACTGGTGACTGTAGAATGCGACTGGTGGGATGTGATAATAGTGAGGTGTCCCTATCGGGAGATAACTACCTCTGTCCATGTTGACTGAGCAATGTGGGAGGTTAGAAAAACACTATTCCAAGACTAGAGTCCTTTTTCCTATATAAATTCAAGTTGTGAACCCTAAAACTACCACCATTTCAAGAATTACAGCGCATGATAACCTCAGATAGATATACTTTGGGCTTTGAGGTCATGTACGTTTTTATTCACCATCCAGGATACAAGCTTCTACAATGCGATTAGTTGTAAAGGATTAGTTTCGTGCGTACTTCTAAAACCGCGAATGTAACTCTAGCTATTTATCAGCCCTTCACATTTTCCTCTGCTCTTAGTAACACTATGATCACCAGTAGTCTTGAAAATCCGATTTGTTTTACAATTGTCATTTATTATTCAAGCCCATGAAATACCTATTTTGGTCTACTGAAATTGCACTGTAAATTGTATACTGGAGCTTTTAATGTTCGGATGCCATATGCGCGATTTGTCCCCTCAGGATAATGGAGCCCCTGTGCAACATTGGTTTGGAATTAGGGTTTTCCAACTCCCCTAGGTGGACTCTCCGTGTCCACCAACCTGGTCAAAGCGCCGGACAGTCACTTTTCGTCCTCCCAATTTTGTAAACAACATCCCCGCCACGAGAAGGCAATGAGTAGGACTTCCCTGGCAGAGGCTATATACGCGTGGCCATATGAGAGCATTTGGAGAGGGAGAGCGGACTCTTATTTAATTATTTATTTGGACACATGAATATTGGTACAAGAGAGCGCCAATATATATGCGCCACACAAAACAATGAGAATTCGAATAGAAATAGAAAAAAAAAGCTAAGGGGCGCAAAAAAAAGAAAACAATAACGAGAAGATTGGTGTAAGGTAGTATGGTAGAAATGAGGGAACGGAAAGGTACAATCAGAAATCTTTCAGGTAAGGGAGACAACCACTTTTTATGAAGAAAGTAAAAGAAGGTTACAGCAGGATCGCCACTGGCTTCTATTCTGAGCCATATCTGATAACGTCTCTAGCCACTGTGTAGCACCATCTCTCGGAACCCAGCCGGGGAGGCTGTATACGCGCGGGCGTGTGAGAGTATTTCGAGAGGGAGAGCGGACTGTCCCCACTCTCGGCCGTACCAAGGCATTTGAGGGCCATCATTTTTGCAGAAAACATTAGCACATACTTAAGAAAGAAGTAGACTATTAAGAGTTATTCTCGTCATGCTAACAGTTTGTCTTTTTGATAAAGAATATGGTCATTTACTTAACCTGATGGCCATTGTGATGAATTGAAGCAATTCATTTCGAAGCTTAGAAATCTAGTAGATAGTTATCATTAGCTCTAATAATTAGTACACTAGTAACACAAGTTAGGTGCCACAGAGCATTAAAGTTGATCCCCATATAAAGCACTGTGGCAATAAAGGTATTATAAAACATTATGAATTAAATAATCACATGGTACAAGCAAAAGCAACGAATATTAAAGGACACAAGCCAACTGATAAACACAACCATGGTATGTCTCACCTTTTAAAAGTACGTCTTATCACTTAGGAAGAACAAAACAGAAAGTGTAGGTAAGACCACCGGTAGCTTTTATTTTGGGCTATGGTCAGGGTTCTATAGTATTCATGGGTCTATGCAAGGTTACATGTACCTCCAACTGTAAACCTATCAGAACTATCATTCACTAAAACCCCATACGTCACAAACTGATATCGTTTCTCTCACTCAGTCGAAGAATAGTTCATGGAACGCAGCCCACTAGAGGAATGTGTAAAAAGGGTCTCAAGTTAAATGGAAATGGTGTTAAAAGACAGTAAAGCCTGTAAATTCGGACATTCAAATATTTCTGAATCAAACGATTACTTACATAGCAGTGGAACCAATAATTTGTAGATAAACATCTGAAGCAGGAACAGCAAACCCTCAGTTATGGAAGACTGTGTTCGACAAACCCGATACAGAGATGCTCGTACAAATGCTCATATAAATATTCGGAATCAGGGAATCTTTTTGGAACTCATCATCGATGATGACTTCAACCACATGCTGTCTTTTTCAATGTTGATTATGTAGCGTATTAATAAATGCCGATTGTCGACTAACTGGGTATTACTTGGGTAATGTTTCTCTACAGCAAGACATCACTTGTATGCTGACGGCTGGGGTAATTCCCTAGGTGACATGACCAAACCATCGCACTGTTCTGCGACGGTTTTCACTGTTATCAACGGAGAGAAATGGTGTGCACACACTCCTTTAGTCATATTGCTGATTTGTGAAGACGAAGAGGTGGTTGTGTAATAGTGTTTACTTCGAGGAGTTTATCCATTAGGCTTCAAAGTGCTTTGAGCACATTTCTGTCTGACAGAGCTTGGAAGCACTGTCATGTCTAAAACCGATTATGATACTACAAAAATACATATTACGACTAGCCACACTATTTTTCAACGTTTGGAAATGTATTATTATAGATCACAGTCTGAATCGTGATGACAAACGAAACATGAAAATGATTCCCAACCTCCCAGTTTTGGGGAATTTTCGGGGTTTTCCCAAAATCTAATGACCGTTTTCCCCGAAAAATTGGGGGTTTTGTGTCACTCCTCCAGAATTTTCTACAGCGGCTTCCACGAAATTTCCCCAAAATAGGGAGATTGAGTTTAGCAGCTATATAGAGCAGAAAGCAACTTACAGTGATCATCGGTCAGCTGCTTCAAAACATCACCTACTATCTTCAAACACGGATTAAATAGAAAACAAGATAAAATACCTGACCAACACTTTGGAGCGCTTTCAAATCATTCTCTGCTTTGTCGTACTCTTTAGAAATCGCTTTGGATTTTTCTCGAGCTAGTTTATGAGTGATAACGGGGTGGGATTATTACCTTCCTTGAGCCTTGCATCTATTCCTCTATGTTCCACAAGTTTACGTCTGTAGTAACTTAGTGCTTTCTCTCTAGCACTTTCGCCCGGAACAGCGACGGTCATGACTAATCTGCTGTAGCACACTTGTTAAGTTAGTTCCAATATCCGATAACTTAAGATTCAAACATCAAACTTAGCTTGGCACGACCGGCAACCTGGTACAAATATTTTTAAATGGTTCAAATGGTTCTAGATGGAATATAAGTAGTTTTTGCTAAACGAGCTTCCGTATTTAGGAGCAGTGGATCACCGATGTCACCAGATAAGAACCTAGGTATATTAGTGATAAAAGAGAAAAAAGAATTATTAATAATAGTTGGATATGTCCTTCGTCCATAAGAATATTTCAAGGTTTCTTTTAAAGGACTCTTGGGAAGTCGCTTGGACTAACTCAGCCGGTAGCGAATCCCAACATTCCAGTTTCAGTGTGGCGGAAAATAAATTTCCAAAATCAATAGCCCTATAAGTCTTCGACATTCGATGCTGATCACATTCATTTTAATGGACTGACCTAGCTGAAGGCGGTCAGTCATGCAAACGCACCAGATCACGGGTGAGAACGCCGTGCTCAACATCCCCTGCAATCGCTAGCCAGATTAGATTAGTAGACCCTCGATATATTGATAGCCTATCAAATCTATCTTCAAACCACCTCGCTTCTGTCTTTTGATTTCACTTGGTGGGTACGCTTCATATTAAAAGGTGTTACTGGTTAAAGCGTTGTCGAACTCCAAATACCTGTGGCATCTTCACCAGTTTCAGTTTGGAAAGGACAGGATGCTTGATGGTCTGTGTTAGTCCTAGAAATGATGGTCTCTCAGTTGTTGCAGCTTTCTTTTGAAAGAGTCGAGGCACGGATCCCCAACCACGTGCTGAGTTAATGAACTTCGCTCGTTGATGCTTCGATTGGGAATTCGATAGTCAGTTGACAAATAATTTGTTCTGGGCTTGTGAACTTTTTTGTAGTGTCCTCGTAAATTCTGTTTTGGAAAAAAATGAAAGCATATCAGGCTTAAATTTATCGCTAAGCAATTTGAAAATTGTTATCAAGTCGCCGAGACCAACAGACTGGATCAACAATGACGACTGGTGACAACTGTCTAACCTGGAGGCATTAGATGACCGTTTCGTCCTATTGTAGGACTCAGAAGTGTGCATCCACGATCCCTTACGTGGGATTCGGATCGAGGACCATGTGCTCACTGATGACTAACTTCGTGAGGGAATTCTCTGAGTTCTAGTGAGGGGCCGTGGTCAGTGAAGTTATTCCGTGTTGGGTAGAGACAGGAATCTACCTCAGTACAATGGAAGATGGTCGCACAATTTCGTGGATTGGTTGAGGTTAGACATTAACGCCGTTGGATGACGGCTCAGAGGTTTAGAGGTTGGGCATTCGCGCGCGAGACCGAAGACTCCAGGCTCAAAGCCCGCGAGCGGGTTCGTGGCTGAGCACTGTTGAGGTGTCCCGTAATAGGACGAAACGGTCGTCTAGTGCTGCGTTAAATTTAAATAGCTCTAATTTGATAAAGCCTATAGAATATATCATCAGCACAAAGTATATCAAACGGTGCAGCCCGTGCTACACAGTCCAGGGTTTGCCTAACGCAAAATTACGTGCCAAACAACGACAAGAATAGTTGGTAAACAAGAGTTTGATACCTGAGAATCAATAAAGATACTCACAAGAAGACGAAATTAGTTATCTACCTGCAAAGATCTCGGCGATTTTTTCTTTCTACCAGTCCATATTGTCTCAAGACATCTCGATACCCGATGTTGTCCGTTCCGACTTTGAAGCCTGGGCCTCTCATCAGAATGGTTAGTTCCTTTCTTAGGCGCTTCTCTACGATCAACTGCGGCTTTCCGTAAAACTGATGTTTATTATCCTGATTGTTATCACTGGTAGACGCATGACACTGAGTAAAATCAATGTGATTCCCTCCCTATAACGGAAAAAGAACAGTGAAAATCCCTCTGCAGCTTCTTTGTTGAACAGTATTTTCATTTATTTGTTCCTTCTCCCTTTTGTGTATTCCAACCTTTGTTTCGATCTCGTTTAACCATGTCTTTTGTTCTTCAGTCTTCCTCGTTTGAGCCTTTATTATGTGATTTTGATTAAAGACTTATTTTTGGTTACCTAATTTTCTATTGCATGTTGCCGGACCATTGACAGTAAGGTTGTGTTTGACTAAGCTCAAGGTCACGGCGTGGTTCAGTTTGTGACTTAACCTTCTGACTGTCTGCTTGGGAGAATTGCTGCAATCCCTGCAGATAGATATTTGACCCCATCTGATTGGGAATATTTGTATTGATTCTCAGGTATCAAACCCTTTAGTATTAACTGTCTCTTTCATTGTTTAGCGCGCTACTTTGCGTTAGAGAAACTTCTGACTGTATAGCACAGGCTGTACCGTTTGAGGTATTTTGTATTTTTGATGTAATCTGTTCTGTTTTCTTAATTAGAACCGTTTATATTGAGCACAGAGTTTGTGTTTTGATATAATATAATACGAGTATCTCAAAGACGCGTTGTGGGCTATACAGAGGAACTTGGTCTGGTCTAATCGAATAAATTTTGGGTTCGTCAGTCCGTTGTTCCAACCGAATATTGGCTGTTCGGTCGTAACACTCCCCCTTTATTTTGAAGGATACTTTGAGGATTCTGAGTCCATGAGATCCCCATCCTACGAGTGCTTTTCATTCTTCTTTGGACAACATCACCGTAACTTTTTTGTATGGAAGGTATTTTCTCCTTCATAACCAGGAACTCTCCCAAATGTAACATTTGTGTTCAGCTTGGGTTCCACTGATTCCGAGCACCGTCAAGCTGTATCTCCTCATTGTTACGGCTACTTGATTGGTCCTCCTGGTCTCTTAGACTTTCCGGACATTTTGCCAGCAACCGACATATTTGAATGTCAGAAACCCTTCTTTCTAGTAAAGCGTAGAAAGAATTAAAATTATCGTGTATTAAGATTCTACCTATAAGGAACGTGAATAGTCTTTACTGAAGGTGAAACAGTACTCGTACCTTCAAAGCATCCTATCTTGCTGAGAAAAGTTATATTGTATTCAGCAAGACGAGGGAGAAAAGTCAGCTGCCTTCATCAGACGTCTTCAAAAACTAGTAACAACATCATTCCCAGATTATTTACGATAGAAACTCGAAGAGTTTGTTCTCAGTCAACCTGTCGACGGCACGAAGTTGAAATTACTACGAAAGTTGATGAATTAAACCCGTAAAAGCTTTAAAGCTGCTCATGAGGAAATAACTTTGGAAGAGCAGGTATCTGTGATCTCAGGTTTTCAAGAGTTAAACTAACACACTGTTACAAGAGTTTGTAGTGGCATTGGACAATAGCCACACAATCCACAAAGCTGTGAACACGAGACTACTCAGAAAATAGATATTCAATATTTAACTCGGGGAAATACCTAACAATGGAGAAGGCGCGGAGAATGAATTGAATGGACTGGAGTTGATCGAGTGGCATGGCTCGTCCATGCAGACGTGGTCCATCTCAGTGTTACTTTATATCTTCTATTCATATTAAATATATTGTTCTTTCTCTATCCTAACCTTGTTCCTCATCATGTATTGGTAATTGATACGATACAGTGAGTTGGTGTAGTCGATGGTGTGACTTCCACGTAAGATCTTATAGATTAGGCAGTTATATCATGACAAATCGACAAGTTTAGGATTAGGTCTATTATTAGAGCAGTACTAATATCATAGTAGACCATAGTTCTACATTGGTGAGCCCAACTAAAG